ACAGCGATTATACCATGACTCAGTAAGCGTTACTCGCAGACGTAATCAAGACGTACAGCTACTCAACAAATCGCATATCACACAACTAAAAATGTCCTACGATGAAGATTTCCAAAAATGGACCAAAAAGGTAATGTCAAAAGTCATTGAACGTTTTGAACCAAACATCGATGAAGCTCAGTACGAGATAAGCGAGCCCACCGATATTTTTATGTCCACTATATATTATGTGTGCGTCAAGTTTAAAAATAGACTGACTGATCAGAATGAAGAACATTCTATAATAATAAAAAGACCTAGACAGTTAGAAATCTGGAGACAGATGATGAGCAGCAACTCGCAATTTCACAACGAAATATTGTTTTACCGGATGTGTGCTCGACCGGATGAAAATTTTCCGAGATGTTTCTATGTCGACGAGAAGCCACCTATGGACTCAGTAATTGCTTTGGAGAATGTCAATAAACGAGGGTACTATCCTTATACATACAAGTACAACGTTCCATTAGAATACACATTAGCGGCGATGCGCGAGATAGGACGGTTCCATGGCAAAGGATATGTCATGAAGGAACTACAGAAAGAAAAGTTCTTCGATATTGTGGAACAGTTTCAAACATCTAAGTACGGTAATAGTGAGTTTAAGCTTCTTATCAATTCTCAAGCAACGCGAGCAGTGGAATACCTTCGCAGCCACAACCATGACGCGGCTTTCTGCGACAAAATGGAAGCTTTACTCTCGAATGCATTCGACGAAGTGATGAACAAGACGATTAAACCACTAGAACCTTTGTCCACAATGTGTCACGGCGATTTTACATTGAATAACGTTCTCTTCAAGAAAGAAGATGATGGACAACAACATGCGATGCTGATCGATTTCGCGACATGTAGCTATTCGACTCCCGTCATTGATCTCTCTACGTACATTGGTTTGTGCTGCTGGCATGAAGTGATGAAAGACAAGTTTTTCGATATAATGCGTGTTTATCATGACGCGTTGAAAGAATACCTGATAGAGGCTGGCATTTGGAATGTCGATAAGTACTCGTACGACGTTTTCCTTGACGATTACAAGAGAGGTGGTCTCTTCGGTTTCGTTACTGCATCTTATTTTTTACCAATATTGATGGGATACGTCTCTTTAAATGACCAAGAAATACTAGAAATGGGTATCGTAGAATATTGTAGGAGAGTAAAGCAGGCAGGCGGAGATGAAATGTCTAAGATCTTAGCTGATATATTGTTACATTTGAAGGATCTTGGTTTCTTAAAACACTTTTTATAATCGCATAATGTTGTTTTTATGTTATATTTATGTACGATACACATAGTATCAGCATTAATGCATATAGTATCAATAAAGTAATTATAGAGTATCTAAATAATATACAAAATAAAAAAGTTTGCAAATGTAATTTCAACCGTATACAATGTAAATAAAAAGAAAAATCTGTACAAATATATATAATCTTTGTACGTAAGTATAATGTATAAATAAGAATGTATATTTTCAATTTACATTTTAAAATTTATGTTTCTTATTTCTTTCGCTATTTTCTAATTTAATAATCATATATTTGTTTACTTATTTAATCGTTTTTAATTTCATTATTTATTCTTTTCAATTCTATTCAATTCTATAGATATTTACGGAATAAAAATAAATATAGAATCACGAGGCATTAGGAGTCAGCGCTAGTACTGATTTGCGCAAAAATGTAACAATGATAAAGATATAAATAAAAAACAAAACGTCCAGAATTAATTAAATTTATTTATCCATCGGAACTGATGTAGAGAAATTGAATAGATATATTTAGTAACACTCTATCTAGATGACAACATCAGCAAAAAATCAAGCAACAGAAGTGAGATAATTGCAAATTTGTACATTTCGACTCACGTTCGAGTAATCTTCTTTTTAAATGTAACTTTTGGTACGAATGATCAGTAATTTTTGACACAATGCTGGTTACTAAAAATTTTAATATATAAACATGTACTGCGGATTTTACCTTTATAAATGTCTCGTTTCCGGATCCTTGGATGAGAAATAACGAAGGTTAACCTCGTTCGTCATGATTCCCACTGGATTTATCAACCATGTGTAACTCGTGATCACTGATAGGGTTCTCTCGCCAAGGATTCAACTCAATTTCTGTAATTTTTGTGGATTATTGCTGATGATAACTCGAACGTGAGTTGAAACGTCCAAATAAATCGAAAATTTACACATACAGAAATTGCGCAACGCTTACAACGTTTTACTCTTATTAATCCGTCTCTTTACCTTTTTTAATTTTTCTTTTTACATTTTCGAGAGTGCGTACAATTTTAAATTGTTATTTAAAGTTGTCTTATTTTTTAAATATAAACAAAATTAGAAAATCGTAAAAAGTCATAGGTATTTTGTAAACAGTCGACGTAGTTCTCGCAATTAACAGCTTTCAATGTGCTATACGAATTTTTAAATCTTGTTAATGATAAGAATAAATAATAGTCCTTGTTTCGCGTTATAATTAAGTGTATGCGTGAAGGCACAGTACTTGCGGGGAATGGCACTGCCTCTAAAAAATATAATCCAACTCAATCCATATTTTAGTATTGGGTGGCTCTTGCTTTGCATATACTTTACAATGCAAAACAAGCCACCCAATACGAAAATATGGATTGAGTTAGGTTATATTTTTTGGAGGGCGGCATGTACTGCCTCCACGCATACGTTTTTCAACACGAAACGAAGTTTTCTCCCCATTTTCTCCTTGCCAATGGGTGAACGACTTTTTACACGAAGCGAGGGCCATCCATAGCGGAAAGTATAACATGGTGTGCAGTTGGATAGTGTCTCTTTCTAAATCTCTGCCCTCTCTTTGTGCAAGGAAAGATTCAGTACCAACTTCACGATGCAAAACAGGTCGATATTCATAGTAGTTCTTACATTTAAGACTTTACTGTCTTAAGTACAATCTTAAGATGTCGTAAGTTAATCCGAGGACTATATTAGCATCTTAAGACATTATTTAATGGTTTTAAAATAAGAACGGACTATGAATATCGCCCCGTTTCGCGTTTCGCAGTTGGTAGCCCTTCAACCCTATTGACGACGCGGAGCAAAAGTAGACGTATTTGGCCGAACTGCACACAAATGTAATCTTTCCACCATGGGTCCATGCCACTTCCTCTCCCTGTCTATGAGCATATACGACTTGCCACGCATTCAAAAATATAACTTTCTTATTCGTTTTTGAAATAGACTTTTTTCCCACAAAAACCACAAGCCCCCTCTTAAAACATGCTATATTATACATGTCCTTTTATAACTAGTTTTGTTCATTACTGAAGAAAAAACTGCGGTTTTTGGGAAGCACCGCTTCTCAACATTTATCTTTGTGGCAAATGAATAATCAGTGTGCGCACCACAAGCATATGAGAGAGGTTAGTAACACAGGCCACAGGCCTAACGTAAGAAGAAGAAAAAGAAGAAGAAATTACATAAAGACTAAAAAAATCGCAATCGACAATATAACGTTAAACAAATGTACAATAGTGAGAAAATTGGTTATATTAAAAATACATTAACTGATTCTTCGTTTTCATAACGAGAATAAGTGGTAGTCAATGGCCAATAATAAGGCCGACATTGCCAAAAGAAATGTAGATATAACCAAGGTATGATAATCAGTAAAATAAAAAATTAATCGTGAAATAAAATGCTATAAATAAATAAAACAAATATCAGGGTAATGTATATCAAGATTCGAAAAATTTATATTAACAAGTAAACCAATGGATTCACATGAATTTTCAGCATATTAGAATAATGCGATATGTTACAAAAGAGAGTGCAATTACTTCTCAATCTATCTTTTTCTTCAAAAATCGTCGGAACTGTAGCAGTTGTCTTGCTCGTATAACAGAATAGAAACATTCGAATAGTTCGCAATATGAGGACTAAACATATATCTATACATATAAATCGATACAATGTTGTCAATAAAGGATATACATTAATTTTGGCGTTTATAATTAGAAAGTTCACTGAGAATATCAAAATAAGTACTATTTAATAATTCCATATTTTTATTCATATTTATCCTATTTGTTTGTTCTTTTATTTCGGAAAGCGTCCTTCTTTGGAAATGATTTTTCGAATTTAATATATATGCACCGTCCTAATTAAAAGAATGATTAAGTTTTGTAATGTGTTCCGAAATAACTATGCTTTGAAGGATCTAACTTTATATTGCCACTATATTCTTTAAATCTCGTTCCCAATTTTCTTTTAGTCTGTCCTACATATGAAGTATTACAGTCATTGCACGGAATTTTATAAACATTATTTTTCGCTACTATCACCCTTATGTGCTTTTATTATCTTGTTAAGTTTATTGATAACTCTAAATTCTATCATAAATTCTGATTTATTTATCACTGCTGCCGCTCTTTCTGAGATATTTTTAATATATGGAAACACAATAAAACGTTTCTCACACATTTTTCTTCTTTAATAAGTACATAGTTTCTTTCCTTATATGCATCTACTCTCTAAATCTGAATCAGTGGATCATATAATAGTCACTAGTTATTCAGTGGCATATTTGGCACTGGATAATCAGTGAAGTTAAAAAACTAAAAAAGGAAGAATATTGGAACATTATAGAATTAAAATACTGATATTTGCATGTTAATTTCAATCTTCTGATAAAAGAAGCGCTGATAATGAGTCTCGTAGATTAAACCCTCCAGCTCAGTGAAAAAACGTGTTTACTACATTCACTGAATTTAAGTTAATCATTTGTTTGAATAATCGAGATGATTTACATTCATTCTTTCTTTTACAAACAAATCTTAAATTTTTTCCTTGTTCCGAGGAATTAAGTGCTTGAATTGGTCTTTACTATAAAGTCTCCCACTCTTCGTATCATTTTATTGGACATATCTTATGTATACACAAGACAAACATTAATCATGTTAAAGAAGCAAATGTTATAGAGCCACACAGTATCGTTTGGACAATTCACGAATGTACTTCCTTAGAACATTGCTTTGTTTTGGCACTTAAAATCGATCAAAACAGTTCTCATGTCACAGTATATAAATAAAATGTCGCATGTTGAAGACAAGTGGATAAAAGAAATAACAACAACAATTATTGAGAATCTTGGATCGAACGTTGATGAAGCTCAATATGAAGTTTGCGGATTCACCAACTATATAATGTCTATACAGTACTATTTAAATGTAAAGTTTAAAAACAAGAACAGTCACAGCGAGGAAGTTTCTATAATATTGAAAAGACCAACGCAGAGCGAAAGAAATAGAGTACTGAATCGTACTGATTATCAGTTCCATAATGAGATACTGTTTTATCGGATGTACATTCAGCCCGGTGAACATTTTGCAAAATGCTTTTACGCCAATGAACAACCACCCTTTGATTCGGTAATCGCCTTGGAAAACATCAGCAAACGAGGATACTGTCCTTGTCCATATATGTATGACATTCCTCTGGAATATACATTAGCGGCATTTCGTGAGATGGGACGATTCCACGGTAAAGGATACGTTATGAAGGAGCTGCAGTGCGAAAAGTTTTTCGATATTATGAAACAAATTCAAGAAATTAGATACGATGCGATGTGTGAATGGAAGCATTTCGTCGATGTAAACGCAACACGAGCGGTGGAATATCTTCGCAATCATGGTCACGATGTAACCTTCTGCGATAAAATGGAAGCTTTACTCTCGCAAGCGTTTGACAAAGTGCTGATGAAGATAGTAGAGCCGCGAGAGCCATTGTCCACGTTGTGTCATGGCGATTTTACATTGAGCAATATTCTCTTCAAGACGGAAAACGGTAAACATGACGCAATACTAATCGATTTCGCGCTTTGTAGATACTCGACTCCCGTCATTGATCTTTCCACGTATATTTGTCTGTGCTGCTCGAATGAAATGATAAAAGACAAATTCTTCGAAATAATGCGAGTTTATCACGATGCATTGAAAAAATATCTTCTGGAGGCTGGCGTTTCGAATATCGAGAAATACTCGTATGAGGCTTTGCTGGACGATTACAAGAGAGGTGGTCTCTTTGGTTTCATCATCGCATCCTTCTTTTTACCGATATTAAGAGGGTATTACACTCTAGATCCTGAACAATTAGTATGTTTGACAGTAGGTAAAGGGAATATAAAGCAATACGGCGGAGACGAAATATCCAAGATATTAGCTGACATGTTATTACATTTGATGGATTTTGGTTGTTTAACATATTTTTAATAACAATGCGTTTATTCCGAGATGCGTAGATTATCATTAATCAATAATTATAAACTATGAGTTAAAAAAGATGTATCTTTAATTCACAGCATCTGTATTTCTGCGATTGTTAACTACGTCCCTTTGACCGTTGCCAAGAATTGTGTATGATATGCGCAGAATGCAATGACATCTTATGTATTTTTACGTACAGTAATTTAATTACAAAGTTAATTACAAAGAGGCTGGTCATCTGATTCTGTGATGTCTCTTTCTTACTTAATGTTCCTATACAGCGAATCCACTGCACGCATTGCTTTTACATAAGGTTATACTTATACGTGAACCATAGAAGTTAGCAGTCTAATATATTATATAGATGTTTGTGATTCAGTTACGTGTATATTTAGTATAAGTAAAAATATACTGTTATTAATAGATAAATCGATAGATTTTTAATTAATGGATAAGTTAGAGATATTAAATACTAAAATAGCTGTTTTATTTAAAGTCGTGCAACAAAAAATCTTTCTTTCAAAAAAATATCCAACTTTAAAAAGATAAAAGAAATACAACATTTTTACTTAAAAAGATATAATTTGATTATTAGCATTAATTATAATTCATTGTTTCAGCATATACATATCTATTATCATTACAATAACTGTGTACAATTAAAAAGATCACAGTCTATCAGATCTTAATATACATTATTTTGCATTTATATTTATGAGTGATGTAATTTTTATAAAATCTTTTCAAGGAACAAAATATAAAATATTTCTAAAGAATTTAGTCATATAAATATAACAAAACAACAGAATTGATTTTTCAAAATTCATAAATAACACAATAGGTCTTTGAAAATATTGCTAACATTATAAATGTTTTATAAAATATTAAATATTCGCTAAATTTGTCACGCTTACATTATGTTCTTCGTTAATCTCATGTTACGAACCAAAAAAATCACGTTCTTTTACATTGAGTCATTCAGTTTCTACAGTCATTCGTTACTCTTCGCACGATTCCGTATTTCATCTACTTTCTTCCAGCTTTCTTCGAGTGGCCGCGTATTGTTCGCGAAAGCATCTTTCGTGACCCCGTTTTTTTTTACATCTATTCGAACGCCAAAGAAGAGAGACGGAGATGAACCGTTTAATCCTCCAGAGTGAAGCACATAAAAGACATTAGTCTCTTATTTTAAAGTATTTTATCATTTTCTAAACTCACTTAAAAATAGAATAGAGATAAGCTATTAGATATAATAATACTGACTACCATTTAATAATACCGTTTATAACACTAGAGATAAAATTTTAAAATTAAATAATAATCTGATTGCATCTTATTGTATAACACATTTTTAAGGCGATTTATTGTAAAATATATTATATTCTAAAAATTAATCGCTGAGCATATAACAATAATACTACGGTAATTTTGTCGAATTTTTCGAAAATATTGCAAAATTATATCAGATGTTGTATACCGCCGTAATATTGTATGTTGTATAGAAAAATATTGTGTATATTGTATACAATAATTTTAATCAACCAATTATAGTTATTGATTCTCTAGATATAATTGTGAATTAATTACATACACTGCTTTGTCACGTTGATACGTCACTGCTATCATAGTATTATAAATTTTTAGTATCCCCACTTTTGACGCTATATTTACGATCTTTATAAAGAAAAATTAGCTGCATTTATAATCTCTCTGGAGAATATTATCAGAGTGACAGTATTGTACAAGTTTCAGTATAAGTTTCAAGATAACGAACCCGTCTGTAGAGTGTCTTGCATTTACAGATTCTTAGACTCGTGCATAACGATTTACACGTTGTTACTGCTAATAAAATGTCTCACACTGAAGACGTTAAGAAATGGAATAAAGAGATTATATTAAAAATTATTGAGAATCTTAAAGAAAATATCGACGAAGCTCGGTATGAGATATCCAAACAAACCGGTAATCTTATGTCAACTGTCTATAATATATGCGTGAAGTTTAAGAACAGGACAAAGAATCAGAGTGAAAAATTTTCTATAATACTAAAGAAACCAACACAGTTAGAATTTCTTAGACAGATAATTCGCAGCGACGTTCAGTTTCATAACGAGATTTTATTTTACCGTATGTATGTCCAACCAAATGAAAATTTTGCAAAATGCTTCTACATCGATGAACGACCGCCTGTCGATTCGGTGATCGCTCTGGAGAACGTCAATGAACAAGGATATTATTCTTGTGCGAGTCCATGTAAGTACGACACTCCTTTAGAATATACATTGGCAGCGATGCGCGAGATTGGACGATTCCACGGAAAAGGGTATGTGATGAAGGAATTGCACCGCGAAAAATTTTTCGCTATCGTAGAACAACTTCAAGAAATTAAATATGACAGAATGGTAGATGAAAATCGTATAATCTATCTCAACTTGACCGCAACGCGGGCAGTGGAATATCTCCGCAATCAGGGTTATGACACAGCCTTTTGTGATAAAACGGAAGCCTTACTCTCGAATGCGTTTGATAAAGTGATGATGAAGACGGTGGAATCGCGAGAGCCATTGTCTACGCTGTGCCATGGTGACTTTGTATTGGACAATATTCTTTTCAAGACGGAAAACGATGGACAATATCGAGCAATACTGATCGACTTTGCATTTTTGAGATATACAACGCCCGTCGTTGATCTTTCCACATATTTTTGTCTCTCTTGCTCGAATGAAGTAAGGAAAGATAAGTTCTTCGAGATTATACAAGCCTATCATGATGCACTAAAGGAATATCTCTTAGAGGCTAACATTTGGGACAGCGAAAAATATTCATACGATGCTTTGCTGGATGATTACAAAAGAGGTAGTCTCTTCGGTTTCGTTATTGCATCTTCTTATTTACCAGTATTAATGGGATACCTAAAGAAAGGAAATTTGACATGTATAAATGAGTTTGAAACCGAAGAAACAGCAAGACAAAACAAACAATTAGGAGGAGATAAAATTTCCAAGATATTAGCTGATATGTTGCTACATTTGAAAGATCTTGGTTGTTTAGAATATTTTTCATAAGAGACAATTTTATTTTATAACATACAATAACGTCAGATTATTATAAATTAATAATTGTAAAGAATAAATTGAGTAAATTTAAATATTTGACAAAATATCATAAATACATAACATAGATATGAAAAGCATTTCTGTGTAAATAGATTGTAATTGAATATACTGTAATAAATACACACATCCGTTGTAATATAAATATACTTTTACATTATAATAAATATGTTTTTATATTGTAACACTTATGTCAGATTTAATTAAGCAATTTCAAAGATGAAAAAAAGGTACAGATTTATTATCTATTATGGATCAAAATCTTGTGTACCGTTTGAGATAAGAGTAGAGTATAACTTTGTAGCATATTGACTTTGATAATGAAATGAGACTTATTTAATCTTATAAACCAATCCCTTATTTGGAACAAAAAAGAAATATTATTTTATTTTATTTTGTTTATACATATATACGCACGCACACGCTCACACACACACACATACACATACACTATTTTATATATTTGAGTATAATTTTACTCCCAATACTAGAAATCAACAGAACGAATGAGAGTACGACGTGTTAATCACTATACAAAGTAATAAAGTAAGAAATTTTATTACTCCTTTATTTCATAAGTAGTGATCAACTGTACTTTTCGACACTCTTTAGAGTTCTCTTCAGTAAATACAAAAATTAATGTGTTTCTCCTTTGTATGTCAAACTTGAGTTACCAATAAATTGACAGATTTGACGTGGCAAAAATACCAACAAACAAAGAAACCGTCTTGAGAGAGAGAAACTATGGATTAAATTAAAAACTATATAAGACCGTACTCTCATTCGCCCTGTTGATTTCTACTATCGGTTTTAATTTTTGAGGATCCGAAATAAAATTACATTCAGATTGGTTTAAATTTACTGTTTAAAATAAGTAGTTCGGGATAAAATAGCCGAATATAATTAGCGGATTTAGCGCGGAATATATATATGTCTCGCGGAAATGAAACAACGTGGATAAGGAGCGGGTTAAAATTGGATTCCGCTTATATGTATACGCGACACTCAAAACAGGCGTGATATTGCGGCAGTATCCCGTGCACATTGGTAAAATTATTCTTTCGTCCGTGCAAGTCCGGATCTGCCTTTCAAATAAAGAAGCACCCTCAGAATAACTTTGTCATTTCCATATATTTTTCCAAGCTGGCAGTAGCGTTTATCGCGAAGCTAACTCATGCCCGAGGGGTTCATGCACAGTCAAATTTTCTTCTCTATTAGTATAAAAATGATTAAACTCTCGCGACCCGGAGAGCAGTAAAAGTATTACAAGTTATTTTATGACATAGTAATTATACTGCGCTATTCTGATTTAAAACAATATTTTACGTTACAGAAATAAAAAGTCAATTTTATAGATAGTATTATATTAATCGCTGTTATTTCTACGAGTTGAAAAACATCGCAAACATATAGTTGCGTAATACTCTTAAAAAACAAAACATTCATTTTGCATCTAATTATAGAGAACTATGATTATACATAAAATGTGATGAATCACGTATGTTTCGCAACACTTTGTACGATATACGTATAATCGTAATTAAAAATAATCTTAATATCTCAAAAATATTTATAAAGAAAATTATAACTGTAATAAAAATTACAAATACATGTCTTGTTTAAAAAATAATTTAAAACGGAAATATCTTAAAATTAATATGAGGGTCGTTCGAAAAGTTTTGAGCCTCAATATATGGCATTACTCGTCAAAACCCATTCTGGTACTACAATCGTACATGTTTTGAAAGATACCTGTGAAAATTGTAGTCATTTTGAACGCTTAGTTGTTGTTTGACAGTCATTTGTGCCAGTCCATGTCAATGTTTTTATAAAAATGGGAAAAGTCGAATATCGGCGATCGCCATAACAGAAATTTATAAATTGTGGTTCGAATTGATTGACCATCC